TCGTGAATTATATAATATAATATAATGGGAATAGTATGATGGAATATGGGAGACTATTATATTTAAAATAACACAAAAGCACAATAACTTTTAAAACATTAAATGAATTTATTATTTATGGAAAACGACTTGGAAAGACCTCTTTGAATAACTATATTTTATACGTGTGAAAATTATAATATCAGAGAAACAATAACAAAGAAATACATGGATTTTATTTTGTTAACATGCGTAGATCTGATAAAAATCGAGCGGTATCTTTTTCCTTTGCTCTTGCAACAAATATTGGTATTCATATAACAAATCGGCTGCAGACGTAAAAAATAATAATAATCATAAATAAATTTAATATTACTTTTATTATATATAATCTGTTGTATTATTTAACCCTTTTATTCTCTTTCCTGCAATTTTCTTCAGATTTTTTTTTTCCTCGCTAGGGCCTAATGATACCTTATATTTCATCAAAGTGTATACGCTACTGAGGACTTCTACGGATAGCTTACTGCGCATGCGCTGGGACTGCCAAACACTGATCGGCGCGCTACTTAAAAGTAGTTTAAGCCATGCTATCAGACTGACAAGCTAGTCTTTACAGCATTGAAGTGGAGGAAGGATCTCGGCGTTCCATTTAATCAACGTAAGTCCTATTTTTTAATATTACACATACATTTAGTCACAACAATTGTACATTATAAATAGTTATTCAATTTATTATTATTATAATTAACATTTTCTGGTTACTAATGATCTAACCTTCACGTAACAATATTATTAAATCGTGCAACAACAATAAATATGTTATTATAAATGCTTTTATTTTTCAGTTCCAAAATTGAATATACACACAATCTGTCTCGATCTTCGACAAGGAAATAAACCAATAAAGACTTACATAAATTAAAAATTGTAGAAAATATATTTGCAAATTGTATGTATTTATAAAGTTACAATAAATAAACAAAACAAATCATGTACTTATTTACAATCCTTTCCATTACATTCTTAAACATAACAGACAATCAACAGGTTAGGTCAGGCTTACGGCAAGGTTATATTCGGTTAGGTCAGGATCCAAGGTTAGGTTATATTAGATTAGGTCAGGATCTATGGTTAGTTCGGATCATGTTAGGTCAGGGACTAAGGTTAGGTTGTATCAGGTTAGGTCTGGAGACCTAACATATATCATTCCCGATGTTACTACATATTACTATTATCGTGGAACTATAATTATTATCCTACTACTCTTATTATTATCAATTTAACCGATATCATTACCCATATTACTACTTTTATTATCGTTACAACTATTATTATTATGCTTGTTATTCTTATTATTATTAATATTATTACCCATATTACGACTGTTATCACCGCTGGATCGGTAATTATACTTACTACTCTTATTATGATATTATCCTTATTATTCTTATTATTATCAATGTTATTACGCATATCACGACTATTATCATCGCTGGAACTGTAATTATTCTTACTACTCATATTATTATCTACATTATTACGCATATTACTACTTCTCTTAACATTATCCTTATTATTTATATTATTATCAATATTATTCCGCATATTACTACTTTTATCAGCATTATCCTTATTACTCTTATTATTATCAATATTATTACGAATATTACTACTTTTATTATCAGTATCCTTATAATTCTTATTGTTATCAATATTATTACGCATATTACTACTTTTATTA